GTGGTTGGTGGTTGGTGGTTGGTGGTTGGTGGTTGGTGGTTGGTGGTGGTTGGTTGGTGGTCTCTCTCCGGCGCGACCCTGGAGGATCCAGCTCACTACCGAAGCCGGGCATCGCTTCCTTTGGAGAGGAGGCAGTCAAAAGATCTCTTCACTCGCATCGCCGATGTGGCCGAGTTGTCTTGCTGCACTGCTTCGTCATCAGGCAACTTCACGGTGTTGAAGCACGCCAGACCACGAAGGAAGTTGGCATCCACATTGCCCACCTGACACGAGGCCGAGATGCGTGTCCACTGTGACCTCGTGCAGCGGCGCCTGCCACGCAAATCACACCGGCAGAGCGGCGGCGACCCAGAGCACCAGGGCGACGCCAGGGCGTACATCCGACCGGTTGGAGAGGACGAAGTACTGCGCCTGCCACGCAAAAGCCACCGGCAGAGGGGTGGAGTTGGTGGTTGGTGGTGGTTGCTTGGTGGTTGGTGGTTGGTGGTGGTTGGTTGGGTCGGTGGTTGGTGGTTGGTTGGTGGTTGTTGGTTGGTGGTTGGTGGTTGGTTGTTGGTGGTTGTTGGTTGTTGGTTGGTGGTTGGTGGTTGTTGGTTGGTGGTTGTTGGTTGGTGGTTGGTTGGTTGGTGGGTGGTTGTTGGTTGGTTGGTGGTTGGTGGTTGGTGGTTGGTGGTGGTTGGTTGGTGGTTGGTGGTGGTTAGTGGTTGGTGGTGGGTGGTGGTTGGTTGTTGCTGGGAAGAGGAGCGGAGGAGGAGGAGGAGAAGCAGGAGCAAAACAAAAACAACACACGTCAATGTGGGGGAACAAGCGCTTCAATAAACAATCAAGCTCAAGCATACTGGCAATTCACAAATCGTACGTAAGTTTGGTTGTGCCCATTTCAAACAAAGCAAGTTTCGTGCAAACAGTGGTAGTGCGCATGAGTTCTGTCAAGGTGGATATTTTAGATATCTATTGCATTACTGGGCTCTATGTGGGGTTACAGTTGAGTGACTTACATTATAGACTTGCCACCTTGGACCACACTTGCATAAAGAGTACCTGCTTTCCTTGAAACTTGCCCATATAAGCTGTTTCAGGATAAGTCTGCAAACGCTTATCCACCAGCATGTTCATGTTCCAGCAACGTAATGCAACATGATGCAGCACGTCTACGGGATTTCAGCTTCAGCCACTGCAACGTGATGCCACGAGTCCGCTCTGTCGGTTTGTCGGATGAGTGATGATGAGCAAGTACGCATCAGACTATCCATGTTGTAAGTCTTCATTGCAGAGAGGAGCGTGCTTGAAGACGAAAGGGTGCCCCGCCATCGCCACACTGAACGATGCGGAAGCTATTCAAGGAAAAGTTGCGACCTGAAATGCCAGAAACTGTGCGATGGGCCTGTTTGTTGAGCTCCGCTGCACTGGCGATGTTCGACAGGGAGTGCCTGGTGAATAGATGGGTGGACGTGCAGTATAGTGACGTGCTTTGAGAGAAATGATGAAACAATTGACAGCAGCAAGGAAAAGTGCGATCTGTCAGATTCCATCTGTAAACTCTTGCCATCTCAAAAGCTCCCTTGTATGTGCTGGACTGAGGCCAGTGGTTGAGGGCATCACTTTGCTGCCCGCTTCACAGTGCGCTGCACTATGCCAATGAGCAAGAGTGCAACTTCTGCATAATACCCCCTGAGCGAAATGACCCACTGCGGTGTTGTGCATAGATATGCAATACACTGTGAAACCATGAGAAAACAAATCTGATAATGAACTAGACAAAAGAGGCGTCCAGTTCATGAATCTTTGCAGCAAAGCAATGCTATCTTTAGAAGATCACGGCTTGCTCTTAATGACACCACTGTGACACCGACAAGAGCTCTGACAAATTCTCACTGAGAAGAAGACTCTTGATGAAGCCCCCAATAATCTGCCTGGCCATCAAAATGAAGAGTCGATAACAGCACATCATGCGGCGTGCCAGGAGCATCAGCCTGATCAGGTGGAATCTTCACCACTTTAAAGGTGTATGCGTATTGGGCAAGGAGTGTGACCTCGGCGAGCTGCTTGAATCTTCACACAGTGTTGACACAGGTGTGTGGTACATTGTGGTAGATAAGGAGGTTGCCGAGGATGTCAGGGAAATGAAGCCGCCTGTGTAGTCCCAGCGTCGTCCACCTGAAGTGATGGAATTTGGCACCTCGACACCTCGACTATGAGCCAAAGCGCCAAAGCCACACACTCCACAATCAAAAGGTGAGAACTAGGCTGATCAGCAACAGGATCAAAACCGCCAGCTGCAAGTGAGAAAGTGCATTTCGCAGCCTAGGACGGTTGAGGTCATTCCGCTGCAACCATGCAAAGTGGAAGTCTCTGAAATGAGAAGGAAATATTTTTCTTAAAGGAATTAGCTTGGAAAAGAATGTAGCATATCCGGCTTATCCTGCCTTGTGGCCCAGCTATCCTTTTGGGCATGCTCTCTGGGAGCGCGCCGAAAAGCACCCTTGTCATAGTATGGAACTTGCACAATAGCAATAACTATACTATACTATACTACCCTGGCCCTATGGGGAGTGGAGCTTTGATATCGATCAGCAACATGTCAAGACACAGTGAGAACACCACTTTTGATGAATACAGTAGCACCAAAGGCAGCATGTTCGTCACTTTCTACGGCCCAACCTCAGATGATCTATGCCTCTAGAAGCTCCAAACTTCAACCAAGTACAACACCGAAGCAAGCCAGGAACACCCGTGCACTCTCTGTGCTCCCAGCACTCTTGTTACGTTGGTTCACATCGGAACTCTGCTTGGGCTGCCACGGAATGATGAAATAGCAGGTGAAAATGAGGACCACTGTAGACCAGCGAGCAGCCTCCAGAAGCATCATCATCAGCACCTGGGTATTGTCAAACTCATCAGGGATGCATCCATTAAGGTCAAGCTAAAGGATCCCCGCCTTGTTCTTGGTAACAAAAACCTGGCTTCGGGCTCCAATCAGGCTCGCCTTAACAACTGCAATCATACAATAAAAAAACACGAAAACCATGTGCGACCAGTTGGAGAAGCATGAAAGGAAAGGGCGACGCTATTCTCTTGTCGCTTCTCAGCAAAAATTACGAGCTCCTTTCTCTATGAAGAGACTTCTTTCGACACTCGGAACAAGAAGCTACTAGGGGCTCCTGGCCTTACTACTAGGAGCAAGGACGCTACTAGGGGCTCCTGGCATCGCTACTAGGAACAAGAAGCTACTAGGGGCATCACTTCTCACACTCTCCAGTCACTGCACGACCCTCGTGCCCTGCGGAGTAGGACCACAGGGTCTGGTGTCTACAGCTTTTTAGCTTAGACAATCTGTCTTTGCTGGAGGTTCTCAGCTCTTCGTCGACTGCTGCTAAACAACATTTGCTAAGGTTACTAAGGCTCAGGAAACAAGTCGTGGAGACAGCATTACACTGTTTGGTTCTTTAGTGTTGGACGCATTGCATTCTAGGCCACTACGACGATCTGCCGGTCGATACATGTCGATACTCTGAACCCTAAACCCTTGGTGTGTCGGTGTATCCATGCAGTTTGGTGTGTATCGGTGCATCGGTGCACGGGTTGCCGGCGCTATGAACTGCAGAGCTTTGCGCTGGAGACGGGCACGTGGAGCCAGATTTTGTTGATGCAAAAGGGTGGCAAACAAGGCACCGCTTCTGTTGTTCACTTGTAGGGCCATATCACATGACTGTGGGAATTGTCCACTGCTCACTTGCAAGCGTTCTTCCACAGTTTCTAAAATTTGGGGTCTCATTCTTCAAATTCTTGGTTTGTCTGTTCTTCACACTTGTTCAGAAAGAAGTTCTACGTGCCGCACATCGGTAAAACACATTGCTACAAACTTTGAAGAAGCAGACAGCCTAGCGCGTCCCGCCATACCAATGCAATGCCATGGTACTGGATACCGCAACAAGAAGAGCTAACAAGCTAACAACACAAGGAGAGCGGAAACAATGTGTCAAGCCACTTCAACTTTGATGAAAGGCATTGGCCAAGCGTGGAGCATTGCCACCGGAACGATTTTTTTTGGACAGCTACACCCGAGATGCCTTTAAGCTGCTCCTTTAGGCCACAACAGCAGCTCCAAAGCGATAAATGCGACGCCTCATGTTGTTTCAGGGCACATGAAGGAAGATCCATGCGTGTCTTCGTATCCTGCTTGTACCATGCCGTCACACCTACACCCTCGTATTCTACATGGACATAGTAACGAGCATTTTAAAAGAATGCCTGAGATGAAGACAAGCCCGTGGAAAGAAGCATCGTCGTAGCCAAGTACCCCAGTTTCACCTGCACCTGCTGAAGGCCATTGAATTTGTTTTTTGTATCAGAACTTGACACAAATGAAAAAGTGTCTGTAGACTGTAGATCGGCGCGGAAGCACATTGGTCACCGAAGACTCCGTTGTGCCGGCTTGAGAGCAAAAAAAATGAGGCCCCTTTAAAGGAACCCTTACCTTCTTTTCTTCATCTCTGTCAAGTTCTTTTCTTTTCACATGTATCGAAGCTGCGAGCCTCAAAGCTGGTGTCTCCAAGTGCAAATGCCTCCGTTCGAGCAAAGCTAGTTTAGTGTTTGTTGGAAGGTCACCTCCTCGATGGAGCATACAGTTCCAAAGGATCTTCCCACAGCATCAACCGCGCCCGCCTCCCAAATAATCTGAAATTTTTCCTTTGGAAGTGATGAGCCATGAGCAAATTTTTCTTCAAGCCGCTCCTGGACCTTGCAAAGTGCAGTTCAGCTCGAAACGACAATCTGGAATTTCTCCTGCCTTGGGCATCAGTATGGTGTAGCGCGCTAGCACAAGGATTGCGCAGGAGACTGCTGTGGCAGTGAGGAGCCAGTTTCGCCTGACTCCAGCTGTGATGCGAAACTGTTCAGAAGTTCAGATTGAAAGTCGCCAACAAGCTTAAGTTTGCCCAAGAGAATCAGGAATCAAATGAATACTGCGCTTCTTCAAGGAAGCTCCCCCAGGCATCTTGGCTCCCAGCTATTTGCCTCACGCCCCCTCGCGAGGGCCGGGGCACCGCTGCCCACTGCTTCAGTGGGGGTGGCGCGTCCACTGACCAGGTACCCACCGGTTCCTGGATCGCCATGGCTACCAAGGATTCGAAGATGACTGGAGGAAAGGTTGCGCGTGATGGGATCATCCAATGGGCTACAGCGAGCATGCCCTCTGCACTGGCCTCTACGGTCCGTTCTGCACTGCAGGGCATTGCGACTACAGGTGAATGTCGGCACGATGATGCTGATTGGATCGTGTTTGGCGAGGTTGTTGATTCGCATGCTGGACCCCCACTTCAAGTCAACCTGAAGCGCACCTCCTGCTCCTGAGTTCGGATGTTGCAACAAGTGACTGGGGCCATTTTGACATTGTGCGCTCAGTCGATCATGCTAGGGTAGACTTTGCTGCTGGCATGTGGGTTGGTGCCCTCATGAAACCTCACCAACGGAAAGCCAACTGTGAGATTCTTGCCGATGAGTCCATGCCGTTGTGGAATGTCTCTCACTATGACAGCCACTTTGCTTGGAATGTAACACACTTGTTTGCAGGTGCGTATGAGGGATGGCTTAGAGCCATGTGGTGGCTGCAACAGGCCAACCTTGGCCATTCGTTTGCTATGCATACCTCGGTAGACTGGTGTCCTGAAGTGATGAGTACATGGACCTTCAACCATGGCCGGGAACATATGCAGTGTCCAATTCATGCTTCCTATGAATCCAAGGAGGTCTTCAATGGGATTTTGGCAGACATTGGTGACACCACCTTACTCAGAGCCACTTCACACAAGATGAACTTGTTGATGACACTCTCTCCACCTTGTCCAAGCTGGAGCCAAGGGGGAAAGCATTCCGGCCTTGCGACCGATGAGGGATTCTGCTTTCTGGATGCGATTGAGCACATGGCACGTGTACCGGCCGGTTTTGGCCCTGTTTGAGTGCTCCGATGGTCTTGAGGCGCACCCCACACTGGCGTGCAATTTCAGCCGCATTGCAGTTGGCAGGTTATCAAAAGGTATGGTCACAGGATGTTGCCATCCACCAGTTGACAGCAAATCACCGCTCTCGGTGGCTGTCAGTTTGGCGCCGACAGGATGTTGCATGCCAGAAATCCACTGAGCGACTTCTTTGTGCCACCAACCGACGAGTTGCATGGAATGATTCGAAACATCTTGTCGCCCTCCCTGCTTCAGTGCGAGCAGATTTGACCCTCACGCCAGACCAAGTTCAAATCTATGGGAATCGGGCCAAGAAAGCAAGGGTGGTAGAAGGCTCTACCACTCATCAAGTTCTTACGGAGAGAATTGCACAAGGGGGCGAATACCTGCCCACCCTTTGTGCCTCCTATACTGCACAACATTTGCTGCAAAAAGAACACCTTGAGCTGAAAGGCATTTTTGCTGCTTTGACGCACAAGAATGAGGAGGTTTGCTTCATTGATCCGTTTGTATTCGTATCACTCTTTGGTACAACGGACTCCATTGCGCTACCAGCTGATCTTCGAAAAGCCTTTCACCAGTTAGGTAAGCCATCTCGCAAATCCACGGCCTTGCTGCCCTTCTTTTTGCGATTGAAAGTGTGGCTGGTGAACCCATCAACAAGATGCAGCTGATTCAGCAATGTTGGGAAGATCGACTTACTGTAGACAGAGCTATGGTTCGGGTATGTGATGATATGGTGGTGCTTCAACCGTTTGCTGACTTCATTGCCAAGGCCACGCCAAGTATTGCTTCATGGCAGCCATGGTTAGCGGGTCATACTTTGATTCGCTTCAGTGATGATGCTTCGCTCATACCCCTCAATATTCCTGAGGAGGTCAGAGTTGGACCTGGCTGCTCATCATGCCCAACTGATTCGACTGGTTTTTGACGGACACAACTTGGCATCTGATGCCCTTTGGACTGCATTGCCAGCTGGAAACATTACTGTCAAGTTGGGTGATTTTACTCTTTGCTTCCTTCAGGTGATACAAACGGATGCTCATGCTGCTGAGGATCCAATTGTCTCGCCCACGCAACCATGGTGTAGTGAAGATGATGACCCTGAGTTTGACCATTTGCAGGAAATCCATCGCACTGGGTTCTTCCATGTGGCCGAGTACGTTTGTCAGGATGAGGAGCCGCGCCAAACTGGCAAGATTCTTCTGGTCCAGCAGGATGGTACTTTCGAATGGGGCTGCTTGGCGTCCATGTTGCGTTGGCCATCAAGGGACTCTATGAGCCAGTTAGCCCCGACAAGTGGGTTCTGCTTGCAGGGGGTCATGAATTGAAGTGGTGCAAGATTTGTCAAGTTCCACGTACTGCTACTCCACGACAGTGCGATGAACTTCTGAATCAACAGTGCCATATCACGATGAGGAATTTGGTTGAGTGCCGGGATGATCAACCGCTGACGCTTATCAATGGTGATGTCCTCTGGTGTGACACGCGGGTTCAAGATGTGGTCCCCATCCTTTTTGGTGGTATGGACAGACTTGCTGAGAATGCCGAGTGCAATTTGCACCCCAGGGATGATCAGCCACAGTTGCATCTCGATGGTGACATTGTTGGGCATGCGCTCCGAGCCTCTCTGATATTGCTTCCATTGTTTTTGGTGGTATGGATCGACTGTCGGAGCACCCCAGTTGCAACATCCACAACGATGAGATCACTGCGAGGCTTCTCCAGTTTAATATGGAACCTGGTGCGTTAGCTGTTGATGAAGTGATTTTCCACTTTGACATCCTGCAGGTTCTTATGCCATCCATTTGCCGGTGTCCACCGGGTCAGTGGGCAAACCTCGAATCGCAGTTCAGGCTTCCCAATGCACCCGCAGATCTTCAGAGATGCTATCAACACTTTGTTGTTCCAATCCTTGTGGTCTTTGATTGGATCTTTGTCGAGGTGAGGTTCTTTGAAGGGCAATGGAGGGTTTTATACCACTCGCCTGAACAGTTGACCATTCGGCAAACCAATGCGGTCCTTGAGCTTGTTAACACCATGGGCGTCCCAGTTGCTCCCAATGCTTACCGCTGGATTCGCACAGCAGAGGACAATGACCTTGCACCATGGCACACTCTGAGAACCTTCTATGCAAGGGCAGGGCTCCATTACTGCCAGAGACACACAGGAGCACGCAGAGATTGCAGAGATCTCAATTTGCTGCCCATATAATGCAGGTGGTGGATCAAGCTGACTTAGTGTGGAGAGAGACCCAGGCTGCGGACAGAATGGTTCAGTTTGCACGAGCCTGCCGCAGTGCTTTTCTTCTTGCAATCACTAGCAGAGCCACAGATCTTATCATTCGGGCTACTGGGCGACCTTTGCCAGTTTACGACATCCATGAGATCTTCTTCGTAGCAGATGAATGGTTGGAAATGAGGCTCAACATCTACCGTACGCACCCAGGTTGGGCTACCAGTGATGAGATCGAGTTTGCCTTGGCATTCTTTCTCCCTGATTCCTTCTGTCCTCCAGTACTACATCATGATCTCTCTTTGATCACAGCGGGTGTCAAGATTCCTTGTGATGAGGCGCAGCGCTTTGTTGCACTTCGGGAAGGGCATTGGATTGGGATTGAGGTTGTCTGTAATGCTCAGGAGCACACCTGCAGAGCAGTTTTTCTACAAGTTCCTCCCAGGGATCAACAATTCTGGCATGGTCAACCAATCGGGGTGGTATTGCCTTTGTTTCAAAAGGCAACTTGCAACATGCTCGAGAAGTCATTCCGAAAGAAGCTTGTGCATTGCTCTTGCCGTTGATTGACCCAACTGATCCACTGACCAAACTGCCAAACCTGTTGGGGCCATTTGAGGTGATTGTATTCGACCCTGCCATGAACCAAGAATACAAGAGACAGGTGCATCTTCTGGTTATCACGCCGGATGTAAATTTTGCTCTGCCGACTCCCTCAATCACGCTGACCCTTGCTGCAGTATGTGAGATGGTCCTAGAGTGTGGTGTGCGCCTTACCACCAAAGATGTCTTCCAGGGCTACTATGACAATCCGTTGGCAAAGTTCAAGACCTCAATTGAAAGAAGTTTGCTCAGATCCTATTTGGAGTCATGCAGCCATCTATGGTTACCGCATGGTTCAAGAGCCCTCCAAAGAGAAACACGACATGGCCCATCAATGCCTGTTGAAGGTTCAGCAAAAGCACCGAGTTCCATTACTCTCAGCCAGTGGCCATGGGGACCTGGTTGTGCGTGATTTTGTGGCAAAAGGGGGCAAGTGCAGGACCTGTCCATCATTCTACCCTCAAAGCTGCAGCATCCATTGCTGGTTATCGAGGCATTGCTGTCACCAAGCGGGGCCTGGCCCCCAGATTTGCTACGGATGCTTTAGCCACTGCACGTGATCTTCTGCTCCCACAAGATGACCGGATTTGTGCCATCAACAAGGCAATGGTTCCCAAAGTTAACCTGGACAGCTTGGGTTGGCCCTCAGAGATCCTTGCAAAGGACATCGTGTCAGCAGTTCACCAAGCCACAAAGGCGGCATGCATCCCGACCAGGTCTTTTAGACGGGCTGGAGTTTGCGCATGGACGCTGTCGTTTGAAAAGGCTCCCACAGTCTCGAAGTTCTCCGTTCGGGTCAACGACAAAACCTTTGAGATCCTGCTCACGCCTGTGGCGTACCGATTCCCGCCCAAAGGGAAGGGCAAAGGTAAAAGCTCTAAAGATGCCAATGTGGCTGCACCTGAAAGTACTGCTCTGCGGGGGAGTGTGTCAAAGGAGATACATTCAGAGCGCATTGACAGATTGGAGGAACAAGTCGGCCGATTAGAACAGAAACATGAGACTCTCAGTGAGAAAGTCGACCGTCAGTTCGGACAAGTTGGGGACCAACTTCGCCAGATCCTTCAATGCGT